TCTGATCAGCTACTCGGCGACTGAATGGGTAAGATGCTTGCGTTCTGCCTGTGAGGTCCCGGGTTCTATCCCCAGTTGGGTCGATGGATTCGCACTGCTGATGAGATCCAACCAGGTCGAAACAGCTGTTCAGTGCTTCCTAGCTTTTCGGTTCACGTTTCATTTACTAAATACACAATGATTTCTTTTTTCAAATGATTTCTTGGAAATCATTTTCTGCCGTATTTCATTATTGCTGTTTTATTTTCGGAAATTACCGCAAGCGATAAACAATGTTTGATCAAGGTTCGTAAATTTTTCAGCTATTGATGATTGCACTTTAATCAAATTCTAAACTGTTCATAGAGTAAGTCACTAATGTCTAGTTTGTATACAACCGTTCCCTTTTTCTGAGACCGATAGTTCACACCGGCATCTTTGTTTTATCAATTAAATAACAGTCATTTCAAGTGAACCGTTTTCTTTCGTGTCGCATTTATAGAGTGCTATCCATTTCACCACTTAATTTATTAAGATTTACACGCATCGAATGTCACAGTGCTCGAGACGGAACACGTTTTGAGAAATATAAACATGTGATAAAAATGCACAGATATTCTAGCTGGTTTCAATCTCGGGAAATCGACAGAAAAGTTTCAAAAGGCTTGTGTACACACCTGTTCGAACCATCATCCAATGAGCACTTTATTACGGGAAAGATTTAAAGATAACAGTAAAACCCTCACACGGTACTTCACCTATTTCTTAATCATACAGAAATAGTTGTTCTACTTGAGTTAGGTCTTCCGGTCACAAACAATAATAAATTCAACACGTAAACAGAAATCCGGAGTCTGATTTGTCTTTGATAAGACCTATCCCAATGGAATAAGCGAATTAGAGAAAACCACACCCGCTCAGAACATGCCGATGTCATTGGTATCCACAGAGATGGTGACGCGAAAGAGAGACGTAATGCAAGTCGAAACCTTACGGTGATACAACGGGATCGGGCTGTCTTCATGCAAATTCGTCGTCTTCATTTAATTGAATAATTATTATAGAATAACGATTATTGAAGACAAACAATTAGAATCAGTGGTTTATTGTTAAAAGTACATAAATACTCTAAAAGTGGGGTTAAAAGCTGAGGCAGGAGTGGTGATGCTATTGTCGGCACCAGCTGCGATATGATTAAAGGGAACATTGTACAATCCTTCATAGAACAAAATTGATGTCCATACATTGAAGATGTTTGAACTCAAGTTAATTGCACAAATACTCACCGGGAAAAAGTCCAACAGAATGAAATTCAGTAGTGTTCCCAGAGCGTAGTATACACCCGTATTAATTCCTAAAGCGAAAAAAGAGAAAATGCTTTATGTTGATATAATGAGCTAATAAAGAGTGAATTTGTCAGGTTAAATCTGATTGCAGTGTGACAATAAACAGTGAATAAACGGAACTGACTGAAGAGAACCAGTAGTTTGATTTCGGAATGGATCCAAGCAACCACGACCAAGCAACAGCTTTCGAGCTGCATTATTTAGATTAACCTACATCTGGTGATCACTTTCAACTCGGTTATTGATACTCAAATCAGGACGTATGCAGGTCAAGCGACCTGGTCACTCACGCACGATGCTACAAGCGCGCATTTGTTGTCACAAATCGGTCATCTATTCACAAGAAACGGTGAATCAAAAAATCCATCTCACTAATGAATACGGTAGGAACAAGCCCAAACCTAATAGCAAATAAAACGAACTAAAAAAAGGAAAATTTCACCCAATTTGCTAGATAATATCACTGCGCGCCAAAAAGAGCCCAAACCTTAGTGAGTTCGCAACATATGACGCTACATTCCAACCCGTAAATGGTGAAGCTGAATGTAACTCTAGTAGAAATTTAAGTAACAGATGAGTCGGGGTGATTAGGCCGCTGTTTGTGCGACTGGCTTGAGAAAAATGGATGACAATTATAAAGGGCAGGATACTTCATTTCGCCTACTTGAACAAATCACACTTGTTCCTCTGCGTACGTCTCCGTGTGAATATGTGTTACTTTCACACCGTTTAAATCTATACGCACGAAAGGGGGTAGTAGGATAGAATTAACTGAATACAGTCAAGCATCAAATGGACAGACAACCTCAGACACACGGACAGCTAACAGCTAACAGTTTGCCAAACTTGGAACAATCATGATCACATCAATAAGAACGTCAAAAAGCAGTTCCGCGTCGCTAAAAATACAAATGCTCGCGTTTCCACTAATGTCTTGTGTATTGAAATCCGGGTGGTACAGGTAATAACAGTAAATCAGAAGAAGCTGTGCATATCATTTTCCGTGTGAAACAATCTATGTGTTTCGGTGACGGATCAAATGGATGTGTTCTGCACCGATCACGCTTCAAAGTTCCAAGTTTTATTATGGAAATAGCCGAGAAGCTCATGCTTTTCTCGTCCCATAGGTTCGCGTTGTGGTTAAAAGACAATGATACAGAAAATTCCTTGTGTAAAAATGTTACATGATACGGGCATCTTCCAATGCGCACACAGCTTCATGTATGTTGAAATGTATGGTGTGCTAATGCTTCATCAAGTCTCAGTTTGAAAGATTCAACGCTGGGCGCACAGATGACATGGGGTGGAAGAGATTTTCAGACCAAACACACTCTGACTGAGAATGACTGACGCTGGCATTCCAGTCAGCATTTGATACCACTAGTTTGAACGGATGTCCTCTAAGATGAACGTTAGGTGATAATTTTAGCAGCGGGTGACACGGATGGCCTGGATTTTTCATTATTTGGTATCCCGTAATCATATCTCCTCTGATGCGCCGGTAGTGATGGGAATATAATCCCCAACGACTCTAGTCTCTCCTCGTATTAATCGCCATTCAACCCTTTAACCATTTTGGTGGCCATCTGTCGTGGACGCTCAAGCATTTTTCCATGCCTAGATGGCGTGCGTACTCCGTGCCTGGGCAAATGTATGCTGATTGTAGACGGGGGAACAACGCGAACTCAAACCGTCCAGAGACACGCCTAGGCGAACCGACATTCTTTACAGCTACGTTCGACACCCGGGCAATAGAATCAGAAAAAATAATCCGATGTAGACAGATAACTTATGTTCAATGAGATAAAATAGGTGGATCTGTTTTTAACCCTATGCCAGTTCTCCAATACGCTTTGTTACCAACGAAAGCTCGTGTGCTTGTCCAGATTACTGAAGCACACCTAGTTTTGTTATCGAGGCTAGTGAATAATAGAACTAAACCTCTAAAAAGTTGATAACGCTGGAAAAATCTTCACCAGTCTCAACAGATGTGTAGCAGTGTGACTTGCATCCCTCCACACACCCACAAACACACACACGCGGTAGCTCTATTGCTGGGCTAATTTATCATCTTCGGAGAAGACTCATTCTATTTTTAGGTAAAACCTGGTGTTGTGGTATCTCCAAACCTTCTTCTGTTTTGTGTTGCTAAAGGTCTTCAATGTCCGAATCACACATAATGTGAACTACGGTTTGGTACACAAATGTATAGATTGTTAACCACATTGCACAAAAGAATGGTTCTAAACCTCACACACGTCGCATCAGATGTGGAAAGAATTATACTGAGGGCAGAAACCCACCCACCCACCCACATATAGAAAAGGCGCGAAAAATGCGCTGAAGTTGAAGCCAACTAGAAGGTGGGAAAGCAAACCTATAGGTTTTCAATGTGATAGACTGAGAAGACCATGTGCGCACTACAAATGCACCGGTAAAAATCAATCTCTTTCTTTAAAGATCAGCCACCTTTTATCTAATAATTTGTCTCTGTGCGGCTTGAACAATGTTCAGCTTACTCACCTATGACTCAGATCAAAATGAAATGGATTCTTGTGTTTCCATTTGGTCGAATTATGTTTATCTAAATACGGCAACCAGATATATTTTGGTGAAGAGAAATAGTTGTTTCTCTAATGGATACAAGTAAAATTTTCTGCATAATGAAAAGGCTGGAACTGATCAGGCTAACTTTGTCATTTATCAAGAGATCATTCCAAATAACTGTTCTTAAACAAAAATGGTTATACTAGGTTCTTTCGTATATCGCACTTAAGTTCATGATTTTCCACCTTCTCACATTACAAAACTCTTGATCAAAAGCGTTCCCCCGGTGCACTCAATTCTATTTGGAAGACAGATTGTCCTTAGTCGGATTCATTGGTGCTCACATATTGACCGATGGGATTCATTTACGTGCTATTTCGTACTCATATTGTGATTGGTCTGACAGGCCACGATCGGTGCTCAAGCATACCTAAAACGTGGTCGAATGTTTCCTGTGCGCATTACTTAATAATGTTCGGGTGCCTTTAAATATCAGAAATGGTAGAATGAAATAAGTGAACATTGTTTAGAGGCAGTTTTTAGCGTCAAACAGTGTAGCTTCTAATATTCTGCACAAATGTGTTTGCTCCGTGATGGTTCATCAACCTGCTTTTTGTCGTGCAGCCAAAACAGATGACGCATGTGCGAGCGATTCTGCGGGCTTGGAACTATAGACAGTCAGAACTAAGGAGGTAAAACAATATCTAGTACTTTAGGAAGACTATAATGCATGCGCGAGAAAAGTCAGAACGTTCCGAATGGCTGCTACTACTGTATTCACCGTTATCTGTTCCAAACTATCGATCTAACAGTCGGTCAGATAGTTCGTTTTTGTCACAACATCAAATATTTCGCCCAAGTCTGTTCTGTCAGTCTTCCATGGTGTGAAAGTTTAGTTTGGACGTTATTTTAGAAGGGACACGAACTGCCACAGGAACCGTGTAATTTTTGAGCAATTGGCTTATCTTCATTGATCGAGTTTTCCGGATTAGCCGGCTAGCTGATTGTGCTGATCCTCCCACGGTATTGACTACTACCATCGATTGTGTTAAAAAAAGAGCTTGAACGTTTTACTGATTTGATAAAACCATTCCCACATGTAATCAGCGAGATGCTCAAATCCAAATGAGATGTTATGCGACGAAGTAAATGTTCTTTAAAACAATTTCAGGCGAACAATTGTTTTCAATGACTCATAAATAATCATGTCGTTACAGTTTATATGAGCGGGAAAAAACCTAGGGGTTAGAAGGAGAGCAATAAAAAAATGTAAGGAATCGTTCAATTCGTGTATGCTTGTGTCTGTATTTGTGTGTGTTGCACACCGCATTCTTAGATCTGTGCTTCCGGGATTGGCAGTTATGTCACGACGGTCATGTAACCCAGTTCTGAGGGATCGGTGTTATTGTGTGAGAATGTTTGTGCATGTGGAAAAGGGAGCGGGGCATGGGGGAGGAGTGGGTTCGCGAGAGCTTGGATAAGACGGCTCTGGGCGCATACATAGTTCGGGGGTCAAGTGCTTAACACAGATGACCTCGACTATGGCCAATGTACGCATTCCAACGTATTTGGACCGGTTAGGGGTCATCTGATAAATAATGCAGAATGCTTCACTTGGGTCAACACGATGACTAGTGTCTACCAAGTGAACGAGAATCACACTTGTGATAAATCCGGAACCACCTCGACTCAGCTATCGCATACACACATACACTCATATACGAAGTGAACGATTCCTTGGTCTTTATTGTTCTCCTCCCAACCCCTAGGTTTTTACCCTCATATAAACTGTAACAGCATGATTATGATTTATTTAAAACAACTGTTCACCTGAAATGGTGTTCTAGATGCGAGTATGGGCATATTTTGAAATTTAAATGTTGTCTCCCTCAGTCATGTGGACGTCCAATCTGAGTTGAGTTGCATCCGAAAGCAATAAGACAGACAGCACTTGCAATCCGTGTTAACTGTTCGTCTTGCACCGAGGCCCGAATTGACGCCACCCAAAAACTCCAGCCATGCGAAGATGTCAGACTGATCTCGGGCATTATTCACACCAGTCACCTTTGACGGTGGATGCATAAAGATGTGAGAATCTGGTAGCGGACTGCAAAGATTTTCAAGGTAGATTTGAGAATTTGACTGCCAATGTTTTAGATGCAAAACGATTAAGGAAAAGCGAAATAGCTCCGTCGGATTTGTTTCGGGTGTTTGAATTCCAATAAAAATCTTGCATTGTGCAAAGAATTTGGTTGAAAATAAAAAAAGCACATGTGGCTAAAAAAGCCGTCAGTTTCTCTATACAGCGTAGTCCAGTTCCACTGCAATCAGGGGAGAGGAGAGACCCCGGACCGTGTGTTTCTTTTTAACCGTTGTGAATATTTTCTGAACCCAAAACAAACTATAAATCGTGACTTTTTGGTGTTTCGCATTTTGATAATTCAATTCCCTCTTTTACAGGCAAAAAATTCGATCCGAATCTGAAGAATGCTTTACTTCAGATGGACTAAATGTGTACCAATTTTATCAGGTACTTACCATAACTGAAAAACAGCAAAACATATTGGCGATTCCGAATGACACGGAGCAACGAACTCTTGTAGTCCCCATTTGATATAGTTGAATCGGTGTCCAACGAAGTCTCATCCTCATGATTGATTTTACTCAACACTGGACTCGTTTCGGTCAACGGGGCAACTTGATTATTTCGCACTGTGTGGCTTCCAGATCGTGATCGAACGGTTTCCATGGAACATTCAGTGGAACGTTGATTTGCCTCCATTCCTGCTTCATCATCCAAATGTTTTACTCGTCGACGAACTTGTTTGCGCATATACTGCGCATAGGTGGGCTCGGATGGAGGCTCAGATTTAAATGCTGCAAATTAAGAAGGATAAGACGTAACGGTGTCCAGAATATGCGAAATTTGCATGTGGATGATTGTTTATTCTCCCTCGACCAAACAATGACGTTTATTGTGGATTTGTTAAAGACAAAACAGAAATCATAAAATGATTCTTACTCATGCAAAGAGTGAACCTTTTTAAAAGAAAACTTTACAAATAACGAGTACAAGCAAAAATAGATTGTAATAGACAGACACCAGGTATGAAACCTTAATCATTGAGTGCAAAATCTCAATTAGTAGTATAGAAGATGTTTGTTAACTACAAGGTTTTCGTGTTCTTTTTGTTTCTGGAATGGAATGCTTTAGTTTTCAATAACTATGTATTGTGAAATGTTCAAAAAGTAAGTTATCCGGATAGTCTTTCGTTATCATTCAACATCTTTATTGATAAAATACATATTCTATAAGTATTTTTGATATTTGAAAGTATAAGCTGTCTACTGCACGCGGAGGTGATCTAAAACATCTTTTGTCTTAAAATGCATCATTATGGTTGGAATCCGTTGTCTCGAGCTCTGAAATATCCAATCATGCCGAAATCCCCTAGGAATGATCTCAAACGACCAAGTGTCTAAAACAGCAGTTACCGAAGTAGTCCTGCGCATTGGCTTCTACTCGTAGAAATATTACCATTAATAAAGTGAGAAGACGAAAGCGAATGCCCAGCGTTTTCCGCCGAGTTGACTGATCATTGATGGTCAGTCTGTGGGGGTTAGCGAAAACCCAGATTACAAAGTACCCACACTTGGTGCAAGGAGCTTATAGTGTCAACAATTCGCGACGGAACCAGACTGGTTTACAAAGTCTACCTTTGGGGTCAACTTCAGTGACGCTCTTCGGCAAGTGTGCAACTCAAGGGCAATCTGATAGTTGACCACATTTGAAAGGCGTTTGAGCTGATCTGTGAACCACCGGATCCAAGAGGATCATGGACTCCATACTCCACCGCACTGCCTTGTGTGTAAGCTTGGTTACTCGAAGGCTTCGGGTATGTTCCTTCAAGAAAACCTTTTGTATCGGTCTCGGTAACGGGGTAGTACCACGCCCACAGTCTAACCATGAACGTACACATTGGTATATGCCTCAGACTTTCACGCTTATGCAAAGCTCCCTCTCTCTCAAGATCGCATGCAGCATTTCCCAACCCCACACAAGACCCCCATTTTTGCCGCTGTATGTTCTACTTGGAATGGTTCAACTGACTTGGGTTCATGTTTTATCTCGCGGCCATCCTCCTTGGTATTTATCTTCGCAGTACTATGTCAGTCAGATCTCACTCTGGGTTCCAAATAGCCTCGTTTAACGCAAGGACTCTAATGCGTGAACGACAACAAGTAGATTTGACTCGTACGCTAGCAAGTACAGAGTTTCAGCTTCAGTTTTTACAACCATTAAACATGCAATTTCGTGCGCCGGTTTTGGTTGTTATCTTTTGGTGCCTCGTTTGGATAAAAGAGCAGAAAAAGAATTGGAATGTGGACGGCAAAATGAAGCAGAAGATGGAGAATTCATAGATGTTACGGGAATAATGAGTGGATGCACGAGCGCCACCCAACCATTTCACCCAGTGTATCTAACCATCAGTGACTATCATCCCAAGGTCCCCAGCCAGGGAGTTTAACGAGACATATTTGACCTAGTCTCCTGGTTAGGGTTTTCATACCCTCATACCAGGTCCTCGCTTGACCTTTTACCAACCGTTACACGTCTTGGCAAACAGCGCACGTCGCGGCAACTTATTTGGTGACACGCATAAAACATGTCCCAATCAATCTATGGAGATCGATCACTTGCTTCAGTGGACGACCGCGACTTCCTACCTAAAACCTAACCTCAGCATTCCTAGTCCGGTTATCTTACTACACTCGTGCAATGTGACGTATGGAGAGGTGTTCGAACACCGACAATCTATTTTTTATCTTGTTCCCGTAGTAGCTAAATCCCTGAGCCGTAGAGCAGTACTGGCCGAACTGCTGCAGCATATACTCGACCCTTCACAGAGCCGGATGTTACGACGGCGCCACAGATGTCTCAAGTTGACAAATGCCAACCGAGCCTTTGTATAAGCATCGGCACTTCATCTATGATGCGTCCGCCAGGTGAGATATATCCAAATTGGTCTACTTCCTATATTACTTGGCCAGTCAGGGTGAGATCGGGTGCTGGACCAACCTAATATTGTAGCAAAATTCCACACTTTGAAGGTGCAAAACGCATGCCGAACATGGCTACACTAGCACAGAAACTGATATAAGTTGTCTCTTCGAGAGGAGCATTCAGGATCGGAGCTTAGTAATCCGATTGACGTCTCCTTCTAATTCAAAAGAAGAGTTTTATTTGCGCGTCTGTGTTGCATCAGTGTATGGTCTAGCATGCTTCTGTATAACCCTAATCGTCAGGGTTGAGAGTACCCTATTGGATTAGATCTCGGTAGAAAACCGACTAGCACGACGACAATCCGAGGCTCGTGTAAAGTCAATAAGCAGAAATTGGACTAACGGAGCTCATTCGCTGTTTTTGCATACTCTTCCACAGACCGTAGCCTGAATAAAGTCAAAGATACCGTCTATCATAGCTTTAATGAGGTCCTTCGGGGAACACCAAAGACGGATATCATTATTTTGGCCAAAGATCTAAACGCATGCGTTGATCGTCTGTCGCCCAATGAGGCTCATCTTAGCGGCAATCATGGCCTTCATAGGTGTCGCTCAGACCATGAGGAAAGACTGCTTGGCACATAATCAAAACACGGTTTGTTCCTGGTTAGCACGAACTTCAGACACCAAAAGCATCAATTCGCCGACTAACGGCACAGGTGTGGACGGTGGATATGTGGGCGAGGAGATATCTCAACGTGTAATCAACGTCAGGTTGGCGTTTGCTCATCTGTGGAATCTCTGGGACCGGCACGAAATATCTCTTAAACTGAAACGGTATGTGTATTGTACAGTACATCCCGTGTTGCTCAACTGCAGCAATCGTGGTCTCTCCGAGCGGACCATGTTCAAGGACTATTGGTTTCCGACAACCGCTGTCTGAATCAACGTTGAATCATTTAGTGACTCACAATGAGGGCAGATGACATGTGTTACGATCAGATACTTTTCCATTGAGAATCGTCTTGTGTGGTTGAGATACGTTCTACGAATGCCTGAATAACGCTTGTCATACCGAGTGCTATGTGCAGCCATTGATCCAGACTGAAAGAAACAGAGCCTGGTAAGCTATGATGTGGTGTAGAGGGTTGAAGAGATTATGTTCGGATCTGGCTTCCATCAGGGCTTCCAGGCTAGACCCAAAAAGGTTGCCAGTGTTGTTGACTAGAGACACTGGAGAATATGGCACCAAACCGACGTTGGTGACGTGAATGCACCCTTTCTTATACGCCAACCAAAAAGTGTATTAAACAAACGAAAACGTTCAAACTACATGCAGTAAACAAGCAAGGAAAGTTGTTATCCCCCGCCCAAAATTGATTGTTTTTGTCCTATCCTTGTTTTGTTTCGGTATTTTTTCAACTTATGGTTATTTTGGCTTTTTATCTGTAAAGATTGGTTATTCACATATATATTTATATACTTTGCAGTAACACCTTTTGGATCGTCTTTTTGTATCGCTAGCAAGTGACAAGTATAGCTGTTTTACGTTTTGTTATATTTAGTGTTCAAGCAAAATGCCACAAATTTTCGAAAAGTGACAGTACCTCGATTCATAAAAAAGAAGTGCAACCTTATTTATCATTATTAATAGCATTCTGATTAGTAATCATACATTTTTGCCAAGAATACTAGAACCAGGAGATATAAACTTTGAATCCATAACTAGTCTAACTTTAGATTTAACTCTTGTTCTACCAAGAAGTCAAATGAAGCGAATAACACCACATCGTCAAACGAATTGGCTAACCTGTGCGGTCTTAGATCTAATTCCTTCGTCTAACATCTTGATTTCTCAATGCATCTGGTCGTCGAAAAAATCAATTTCATTAGATTTGACCTTAAGAATTTGGTAAAACATGTAGCACATATTGATCCATTTTTTGTTTTTGTTTGATTTTCGAATTTGACTCACAGTTAATTGTGAGTAGTGTGTGTGGGAAATAATTGATATTGATTGATTTGACTGACTATGCTTCGGACTTTACCTTCACGAACAATCCTCAGCTCATCGATTCAACCATACACTTGGACGCACTAGACTCGAGGTTCGCTCTTAATAGAGATCATTATTAGTGCATATCCACCGTCCCGTCCCACCACATGGACGATGTGTGTTGTCACTGTGCCAACCAGCTTATGCCATGGTTGAACCGAAATTCTCATTCATGTTTGTTCAGGTGTTACCTTCAGTGACAGTCAATCATTTGGCTATTTGCTTACGGATAACCCCGATGAAAGTCGTGTATTTTAGAAATGCATTTGGATGAGTTAAAATTCGTATGAGCACGTTGTAGGTGATTCAATCTGATTCCACGGCCTCATTTTGGGCATGTCCTTGACTGTAGAATCTCACATGAATATTGAGCAAATAATTATCACCCCACATTCATTCAGTTCAAAATATACAACTTACATAGACGTAGCTTGCGGTGACGGACCCGAAACACCAAATCAACAAACGTAAAACCCATAGATGATGTTGGAGTTCAAACGCCTGAACCGGGGTAGTACCGGTACGCAATCTGTAATGCTCGACCAAGGTCACTATTATTACTCAGTGTACAAATTTTCTGGATGCGTGATCATAACGTAACGGTTTAACTTCAGTGCCATATTTGTTGTTTCCTCGAAACGGTTCGAATCCAATAGAGGGAATGACTACTTTCTTTTGACAGATTTACAGTGAATCGGTTATTACTTCGTCAATGCATCACAATTATTTCATCGAATCAACTGCTGCTAATATCATTTTAGTAAAACCATCCCACACCACTAGAGGTTTCAGTTATGACTGAATGGTCGACTCAATCAACTGTGCCAACAAATCAACAAATAGAGCAACAATATTCACTCAGACACGCACTTATTCTTGGTAGAACAATTCCATTTGCATCCATAGGAAATGATTCTCCTACAGACCTAATGCTCGATTATTTTTACTGAAATAGCTTGAAATTTAATTTTATTCTCTTTCTGTCAACTGTTTTTTATTCGATATATTTGGCTTGCCAATTGACAGCATCGCACATCAACCACAGTACGCGTTTTGCTTGTTGTCCATGTGAATGAATTACATGAAAACACAAACAGAAAAACCCGTCGAATCCAGAAACACAACATTGGGCGGTGAGGATATGTTTGACAGTTATTTCCGGGTGTTTCAGTTCGCAATTTGACCAATCTACGTGAAAAGGTGGTGAATATGTGATCGATTTTTGTTTTGTAACTTTTTACAAATAAAAAAACGAAGCAAAAATTGGAACCAAACGCTTGCTATACCGACCGACCACGTGACGTGAACGAGGAACAATATCAATTATGTAACGGGAATGGCTAAAAGATTTGCTTTTTGGCTGCAGCAATTCCAAAGAGCGGGGGGGGGGAGAGGTAAGTGAAAAAAGCAATCAAATCACTTTGGCTGGTCTGCGTCAGATAAAACACAGAGAACAAATAAATTTGCCAGTACGTTGCCATGACTCCGTTGCTGACTACATTGAAGTGTTGCCACGCGATTCATTCGCGGATCCGTCGGAAAGTCCCTCACGAATAACTAGCGACAATTTAGAGTCGTTCCCATCCTGTTATAGAACTCGTTATAAGAGAACACAAGATCATTATTTGTTTGTAATGGGTCTCCTGTCATGTAGAGCACACACCAACATCATATATCCAATTGGATTTTCTTGAACAAAGCATCATTTCTGAAGCTGTGGCTTACATATTCTTCTAAGTGTTTCAACGGATTTTATTACTTGCTACAAGCAGTAAGTACTGCAAAAAGACAAGTCAGAATCCAAATTCTAAATCATTTATTCGAACAGTTTGAAGAATGGAAGACACTGAGTAGAGCGGAAACGACAAAATCTAAGTGACTCAAAATCGAACACGTATATTCGGTAACTCTGTGTAAGGTCATTCTGTTACAGGTACATAATTTTCGGTCACATGTTTTCCTTTGCTTATGTGATAATAAATCTCAGTCAAGATGTTGAGCAAATAACAAACAAATAGGGGTGAGGGTGTGGGGGGTACAAGACATGATTAATTGATGAGTTCCGCTTGTGCGTTTCTCATGGGTTACCGGTAAAAGCAGTTTATTTGCTCTTAAGACACTTTTATTCAGGTATAAAAACATCAAATCTCTAAGATTTGTACCCTAAGTAGTAAATATCCGACTGAACTTCATATCTGTCCAATTTCAGACTGTGAGCCAAATGAAGAAGGGGTAAAACAATCTGTATACTGAGAAAACCGATTGGTAGTTCTCTCCTAGACAGGGTACTGTAAGGTTATTTAAATCAGAGCAAAAGGTGTTTCTCTGAAGATTCCTAACCCTTGCCAAAAAGCTGACATCACACGCTGATGTATGAAAAACGTAGTCAGTTTTGGGACCGGTGTCCAGGGAGTCGTATCATGCGCTGCTGCTGGAGTAGTTCAAACATTCAAGGTGCCCGTGTCGTCCAGCTCCCTAAGCAACTTAGCTCGACAAGGTCTGATCAAATGATCCACTTATTAGAAACGCAATCATGGGATGCGTTGCTATTCAGGCCCAAAAATTGATGGCTGCTCTCGTACGCAACAGAGTACCATGAAGGGGCATATTTAGAATAGAAAACAGTAAACGTGGAACATAATTAATACAATACCTTACAAATAAATGTTACAACGTTTGGATATCCCTATTTGTTGCACAAATTTGGTCATTCATCATATCTAATAGCATCGGCGAAATGCAGTTGCGGTAATTCGCGATTCTCTAAAACACGTATTTCAAACAATCATGGAACTGGTCAGTTGGACTACCCATATTTGCGGAAATATAGAAAAACGTCTATGAGCACTCATGTACTGCTTAGACCTGTCTTTGAATCTGACGAACCCATATATGTGCAATCAAAAATGCTGGTGCTTCTCTCTAAAGTTATCCAAACATATACTTCCGAACAGACAATTGATAGAACTTCTTACCGAATAGGACGGGAATTAAAGGGAGTGTGGTGATGACCGCGCCCGCGTACAACAGAATCATCATGCAAAATTTGATACTGTCAAACATCGAGGCGTTCGGTTGAATGTGACCGCGGAATAGTCGAGCGATCCATGGATAGTCCAGTGTATATGTCCCATTGTTATCGAACCAATAGGAGTCAGTTGGTAAACTAGGAACGACCATGGCCGGAACACAAAATCCAACGGCAACACCAAGCTGGACAAACAAAAGCATTCGGAACAGATCAAGAAAAAAAAGTGAATTTAGGAGCATTAACTGATTTTCCTAACCGGAACAACAATTTTCAATGCGATACAGAACAGTATAGGATAATTTTTATCAAACAGAATGGGGGGGAATAAGAGCACTTGGAACGCGGGGTACGGGGAGCGAAGGGGTTAGTTGATTTCCCGAGTGTTTTGTACGTGTTTTGGGAATGAAAATATCGTGGGAAAATAAAATAAAACAAAATTACAGACTACAAGAAATGATTTTATCATGAGACCGGAAATCGGGATCACCACGATTATCTAGCTTAAACAGATCACATTGTGAACGTTGCCGAGGCTTTCCAACCCATGTATTGGGGTGCATGACGATTATCGAGGTAGGTTATCTGTCGGAAGCTGGCTACAGCAGAGGCAGTGGGTATTCGTCTGCACTGCTGCTTCCCTGGCTCACACTCTACACACACCATATCACTAGAAACCTGAATGATCGGACGAGTGGATTAACAAATTGGTGATCGTGGTGATCCCATTTTCCGGTCTCGAGATGAAATCGTTCCTAGTAAACTGTGATTTTGTTTTATTTTATTTCCCAAAACATGCATAGGAATCTCTGAGAACGAGCTTGTTTGCCACTTTGTTGCTTTGTTTGAAATGTGCTCTGTGGGGAAGGATTTCGACAATGATAAATTTGGGCAACGCGATCCATCGTTCGATCCGTTATACGCTGGTTACGCAGAAAAACAATGGTCATTCACTAAGTTCATACATTTGTTTGGTCGGTTACAGTATAAACGTCTAAATTGACCGTAACGTGGGAATCAGATAGAATGTTGCCGAGTAAATTCAATCCGGTTGTATATCCAAAAAGTCACTGATTGTTGAAGGTGATGTTCCCTCCAAATCTGAGTTGGGTAGTATGCATATGATAGAAACAGCTTCGAATGCGTGGTGTATTGATGAAATGTAACACTCAAATTCTCTGACTTTTTGTTATTTTTGCTGGATACATCGCAATTATTTGGTTCGCCTGTCCACAGCTTTGTTATTCAGTTGAATTAGTCAATCCTGAATAGCACATTGGGTCGGCCTGTTAGCATATGAAGCAGTAACCGTCGTGGTACTTGCACAGAACATATTAGACATGCAACACCAGGGAACGTGTAATCACGTAATGGAAAAGGAATATGCTAAATCAAAAGCAGTTTCCAGCTTCTCGTTCCCTTCAGGGGATGGAGCTATCTACTTTGAAAAACTAAAGGCTTGAACTTTGCTTTTACGCCTACATCTATTCTATCCACCTTGGGTACAAACAATAATATTCAGAATTATCTGCCTGTTACGTTATAGGTTCAAACTGTTTATTGAATAAGCTATGGAGGTTCAAATAATCAAAGACCTAGTAATTTGAATGCCATTGATCTGGACAATAAATTTCCCCAGAGCTGAGTTGGTAAATTTTTGGAAACTAAATAGTTAGACGTTTCTCCGGGCAGAAGATCGTATCAAGTGTTATTCCCTTACAAATATTTTCTATTCGTATTTGTATTTGTATTTGTACAACTTTTGCAAGCTCAGATATGCTTACATTTCAGTTAAAACATTTAACATTTCGTAACATTTCTAATAAAACGCCAATCATGCAGGTAGCAAGTAAAAACTTTTAGACACGATTTTGCTGAGAGAAAAATCAATGACATTTAAGGGTGAACGATGCAATTTGTTGAATTATGTAACCAAAATTATTGGTTGACAGACTGAAGTCTTATGTCGTAATTGAGTAGCATCAAAACCTGGGAAAACTCCTGGTATATTCGATAACTGATTTCATACACAATTCTTTGGAAACTTTAGTTGTGCTTGTATCCACGTTAGAACACATCAGCAAAGGAACAATATTTTAGAGTATGGTACCACCCTATCTATAGGGAACCATGTCTGGTTATGCTTATGTTGAAATAATTGATGGTTCGCTTCCAGGTTGCTCAAGTAGTCATGATTAAAAAGCACTCAGTTGGGTTGAGATGTTTCTAATTGAAACGTTTTGGTTCTCCAGTCCTGAGTACTTCAACGGTNACTGCCCTCCTAACACTATACGTATAAGGCTCACTATTCTTGCATGCCAAAAAGGTTCAATCAAGAATCCTGCTTATCTGGTAATGGTGATTTTCAAATCGCTCACGAACTACTCAGTTTGTTATTATTCAAAGCCTTGAACCTAAATCTGCATCTCAAAGCGATTAATTTCTAGTTGATCGTAGATTTCGGGGAAATCGATTCCAGAAAAGTCTCTCCTTTTTGAGGACGGCGGAACGATCATCCCACTGGCAGGAATGCACTCGCTTGACTTAACACATTTCGTGAGCGCCACATGTTCATAATTTGGTTCGGTTGCACAAACGCGGCCCGACATGCGGGTCCGATTGCTGCATTCGATGATGATNATCGAAACGAGATGAAATGAAGCTAAACGGTGTGGTGGTGAAATTTCGTTGCTCTAGAAATCTGAAACAACAAAATATTAGTTAATATTACTTGATTTATTTTGAAACACACTAACTACTGGCAACTAGATTACCGATACTATAAGCAATCGCCGATTGGGTCAAGTTAAGTCATATAACATAAAGCTGTTTTCATGGAACATATAACGGACAAATGATTGAGGTCCTTTGATACATTGATCAAAATTGAGAATTATATCAACAACGTCCACTATGAGTCCCATTGAAACCTATAGTTGGAATAACACATTGTCTAGTTTATCTGGAAAAAGGTAACAATTGGACGAGGAACACATTTTAAGTAGATACACTAATATCCTACACAACGGTAATCAAGATGTTCAGGCTACTAGAAATTAGCCGTATCTATGGTACATTGAATTAGAAATTATCTGTTATTGTTATAGTGATAACTGTTACTAATACAAACGATTGCCACTCGAATGGAAATTTCAAGAGTTTGGATTGAAGAAGCTTGCACATGGCAAGCAAATGACATCAAAAATAACAGTTCGATAAGTTCATCCCTGTGAGCTGGGGGGGGGGACAATTAAAATTCCAAACCACTTTTTATTGTCAATTAGTTTAAAATGTTTTCCCACATCAATATATGTAAAACTTCTTTGAGGCATTTTTTCATAGGTGTACCTCCTTGGGATAACATGTAGGTGGCCATTGAAGGAAAGCATACTAAGATCATTTCAAACAAAACAACAGAGTGGCGAACAAGCTCGGTTTCAGAGATTTGTATTCATGACAATACATCTCAATATAAATCACTACTTGGGAATAAAATGATCATGGGAAAATAAAATAAAAACACAG